TGTTTTCACTAAGAATACAATCTACGTATGTTTCTACTAATATGATCTATGTCCATTTTTATTATTTTCCCCTCTAGTTTCTTAGCCTTCCTGAGATCATAAATTGAGACCACTGGGTCAGTTTCTTTCTTTGATAAAGAAAACATGTCAAGCCCTGAAAATCCCTCCAATGCTGTGGCCACAGTCCTTCGATTTTTGTGTGTAATTGCTTTATCACCTTCCACCTTTTGAAGTGTTCCTGAATTCTGCATTTCCTCCTCATCCATTTGTCACCAAGGAAAGTGTCCCTCTCCGCCAAGTGGCTGCAGCCCTTGTGTACATCACGGTTACTAGCATGCTTCCTGCCTGTGGCCGCGGGGCCCTGCTCTGGCCTGTTGCTGGTGCTCACCGCGTCCCTGTGTGCAAATGGAGTGGACAGCAGCTCAGCCGCCTGCAGCGTCCTGAACCCCTAGTAGCACTACCCCAGCAGGTGTCTTAATTTAGATGTATGGGACTGGGTGTCACTGGGCAGAGACAGAGGGTTTGGCTCCCCACTCCTCACCCTCTGCCTCCCCCGTCCTGCCCGGCTGCCTCTTCCAAGGCAGCCCACTCAGGCCACCCTGCACCCCTCCTGAGACGTGCCCCAGGCCCTGTCCAATGGGGCCTGGACATAGGCCTCCCTCCCTCCTCAGCCAAGCTCGGGTCCCTGATTGGAGCAAAGCACTGGACCCCCGGGAAGTGAGTGGGCAGCCACGTGGACACACTGGACCCCTGAGAGGCGGATGGGCAGCCACGTGGACGCCCTAGGAAATGTGGGGACTCTGGGTCCCTTGGCCTGCTGGCTGGCACAAGTGGCCCACTCCTCCCTGTTAAAGACAGTTGCTCTCCACCTGCCTGTGGGGAGCAGAGACCTCTGCCTTGTGAGGTAACATGCTCCCAGGTCTCACCCCAAACTCCCCTCCTGGCCTCCAGAGCAGTAAGTAGTCAAGTCACAGTGTCACCCAGCTGGGGCCACTGAACCTTGCTGAAGTGTCCCAACAGAGCCAGGCATCCTGAGGAAGCCGGCACGAGGGTGGGGGTCAGGTTGCTAAGGGAGAGAGGGTGGCCAGGGAGTGCCTGGGAGATGCCTCTGACTGCCCTTCCAGAAGCCTGGAAGGGCCCATCCACACAAACGAAGGGGAAAAGCAAGAACTGCTATGGTGGGCGGTGGAGGGGGTCAGAGGCTCAAAGACGCACATGAGGCCAGCAAACCCACCAGAGGGCCGGGCAGTGGGCAAGGCCCCAGGCACTCTCGGCAGACCGCAGCCTCTCACGTGGGTCGGGGAGGGGCCAGCATCTCTGAGAGCTCAGTGGGGGCCGTCCTCACAGACCCGGGCTCCCAGACAGCACTGGGGATCACAGAATCCTGGAATATTAGAAGGTCGGCGTGGCACTAACCGTCGGGAGCAAGGTGCCACCTGTGTGGTGGGTGGCAAGTCGGAGGGCAGCCGGGAGAGCCCGTCATGCTGGGAGCTGTGGGGGTGGTTAAGGGAGCTCGCCTCTGGGGCACGGTGGCCTGGCAGCAATGTGCATCCCAGGACAGGTCATCCTCCCTCGCCTGGTACACGTGCCCGCACAGGCAGCACAGTATACCAGACTGGGGAACGCTTCAGCCTGGGAGATTCGGACAGCCTGGGGTCAGAGAGCACAAAGCCAGAGAGGGCGACCCTATGGTCCGGGCTTGGGCACCAGCCCTCCACAACCAGGCGGCTTCAGCCTCCTCTCGAGTGCGTGGACATAATAAGAACAACCCCGCCTTTGCAGGAAGCTGCTTCGCTGTCTGCAGGACTGCAGGCTGTGGACGGCCCCGGACAAGCCCAGCCCTAGTGCAGCACCAGAGGCCACCAGAGAGTCCACTGCATACGTCACTGGGCCTGGGTGGCCATGGACATCGTCTTCCCAGACACAAGTCCCTTGTACATTTTTATCTCACTGCGAGGCTGCAGGTCGTCAGGAGTGCCGACTCCCCGGCTCCCCTTGAGAAAGAGGAGAGGCATCCCAGGTGTGGGCGTTTCCTCCATGCAAATTTTGTTCTTACCCTAAACCTTCCTGGCAACAAGCCTCACAGAATTCTCCAGAAACAGCACTCTTCCCCCAAGCATCTGCAAAACTCAGATTGTATTGAAGGTTTTGTTGGGAAAGACTGACAGTGGTAGCTCGTGGCCCCTTTCCTGCCTTGCTCTCTGGCGCCACCACTGGGCAGGCCCTTCTCTCCCTGCCGTGGACAGCAGAGGACACTGTCTGTCCCCTGGGCGTTCCGGATTTCTTTCCCTTGTGGTACCTGAGGTGCTGGTTTAAGATCACTGACACCCCTTGGACTTTGGAACACAGCCTTGCTGATCACTCTCCTCTGAGGTTGTCTTTGACCTGCAGGAGGTCCTAGGAAGCAAAGTGACCCACAGAAAGTCCGCTGACATTGGAGGCAGGAAGCTGCAGGCTGAGTGGGTTCCTCCACAGATTAAGCCCCCTGCTTTGACAAGCTCATTAACCTCTGTGACCCTCAGTTTTTTCATCTGGGACCTAGGGTGGAGCCTAGGGTCAACCTGACGGAGGGCCTTCCTCTGCTACTCAATAAAATAGGGAAAAAAACTCACCAAAAACAAAACCCAGCAGGCCACACTAGAAGGTTTGCATATGGTGTGAGATAAGGGTAGAGCTCATGTTTTGTACACAGATGTCCAATTTTTCCAATACCATAGCTAAAAAAAGGTTATCCCTTTTTCCAGTGAATTATCTGGGCATCTTTGTTGAAAATTAAGTGACCATATCTCCTTGAGTCTTTCTGGGTTTTCTGTCCTGTGCATATATCTATATGGTTATCCATATAGCAATGCTACGTCTTGATTTCTATAGTTTTGTAAAAAGTCTTGAAATCAGGTGGCATAAGTCCTCTGATTTTAATTTTCACTTTAAAAAAATTATTTTGGCTATTTTAGGCCCTTTGTACTTTTCATGTAAATATGCAATCACCTTTGTGATTTCTACCCTAAAAGTAGCTGTTAGAATTTTTAGTGGGATTGCTTTAAATCATTGACCAATGTGAGGCGAATTGACATCTCAATAGCATTGAGTCTTGATTCATGAACATGGTATAACAGTCAATTCAGATAGATCTCCTGTAATTTCCTGAATATTTTGTGCTTTTAGCACATTAGTCTGGCATACTTTTTTAAGCTTATTCACTGTGTTTCATATTTTGATGCTATTGTAAGTGATAGTATCTTTAAAAATTTCAATTTGCATTTGGCTCTTAGTGCACAGAAATGCAATTGATTTTTGAACACCGATCTACTATTCTGCAACCTTGCCAAACTTATTACTTCTGGCAGCTTTATTACAGATCTTCTAGGATTTTCTGTACAGATAATCTTGTCCTGAGCACGTAGTCAGTTGTTCCTCTCCTTGTATGAGCTCCGTTTCTCTTCCCTGCCTTCCTGCCCTGGTGAGGCTTCCAGCACAATGCTGAGTAGAATCCCGAGAGCAGACACACCTTGCCTTGTGCCTGACCACAGGAGGAAAGAATCCTGTTTTCTTACCATGAATTGTGTCAGCCATAGAATTTGCAAATCTGATTTGTCAAGTTGAAAAGTTCTTTGACGTTCCTAGTTTTCTGTAAGGTTTTTTCCATCTATTGTGCCAAATGCTTCCTATGCACCTACTGACATAGATGGTCCTAGTTGTCGCCCCCCAATGATCTGCCTCCTCCACCATCTTACAGCCCCCTCCCCTACCCAGTTAGGTGGCAACAGTCTGTGATGTGGGGCAATTGTTGGACCTATTGAACTGGACCTGGGAAAGGCCCAACTGCTCAGTGGGTGGGCACCCACCAGGGAGGGATCTTCAGGACAGACCTGCCCCGATCAAGAATTCAGGCCACAGATGCAAGCGCAGACTCCCGGATACACCAGAGAGGGCCATGGCCAGACAGCCAGCTCACACCCAAGATCGAGGCCCTGTGCCCCAGGAAGACAGTGCCACTCAGAGCAGAGGCCTACAGCTGGAAGGGGATTTGCCTGGAACCTGCCTGAGCTACTGGGAGCTGTTTTCCCATTTTACAAATAAAACTAGGGTGCTCACCCATCCAGGGCAGGAAAATGTCCAGGTTCCCCTCCCCAAAGGAAGACTGTTTTAATAATTAATCCTGGAACCACCAACCTGCCAGGCACCAAGCATTTCCCAGCCAGACACACGTGTCTGGGAAAGGTGAGGAACGGATGGCAATGTGCTCAGTGGGTGTGTTACGGGCGGCAGGCAGGGCAAGGACAACGACAACTGCTCACCGGCCTGCCTTCTTTCATTCCTGCATCATATCAGATAATACATTCTTACTGAGGAAGAAGCTTGGAAAAGCAGAAAAAATCACTAGGAATATTGCATACTGAAAATAGATCTTATCTCACATAGTTAAGCAGAAACATTTTGCTGGGATATGTCATTCACTGGGAAGAAAGCAGATCTGATCATCTAATGGAGCAAAGACAAGACCTGCTGATTCTTTTCAGTGTACCTGGACGTCTTCTGGGATGACCAAGTTGTTCAAGATGCTTTTTGACAGGTAACATTACTGATTGCAATCACTCAGCCCTACTTTCTGGCAGGCAGGCACTCTTGACTTTGTGCATGAACTTGAGACTGGCTTTGCCGGTGGCGTGGGAGCAGGTGTGACCTGTGCCACACCCAAAAGGCTCGCACCGCCTCCTGATCAAGGGGTCTCAGTCAAGAGGATGGGATGTCCCAGAAAGGGACTCTTCAGCCTGGCTGGTGAAGACCCGTAGAGCAGACACCCAGCCCACCCAGCGTGAGCGTGAAACGGGAGGGCTGCGGTCCACGGGCATCCGGGGCTTGCTTGTTCTGTGGTCTGACCTAGCAAAAGCTGACTAGTAGGATACTGGAAACACCTACGGAGAATGTTTCACATGATTTTTTTCAGATGGGGTGTTTGTTTCTTAACAAGATAGTTAAAACATTGTTCACAGCACACGATGAAATATTTATTCTATGAGTTTTCCTGTGCGTACAGCGTTGACCCCTGTACCTAGCGGCGAGTCTGAGGACCCAGGGTCAGCGTCGGCTCGTCTATAGAACACACGTGTGATCGTGTACACGGCACTCACTCCAGGATTCCCTGAATACCCTGCGGGAGAACCTTTCTTGGCCTCCCCACCGAGAACCCACGAACTCCTAACCCGCATTCCCAGAGTGACGTGTAGATAACTCATGATTTGTTTCTTGTCTATCTACCCAACTAAACATCAAAACTGTCGGTGGATGTTCTGATCATCGGCGTACCTTCAATGCTTGACCCTTGGCGCAGCGGCTGGTATGTAAATAACAGCACGATAAAAAGTAATAGCCTCGTTCGGTGTGTACCAGGCAGCAGGCTGCCTTGCCTGGGCGTCATCTTCCTCAGTCTACACAGCGACCTTGAGAAGTCTGCACTCACTTGGCCCCATGTGATAGACAAGAAAACCGAGGTTCGGAGCAGGTGAGCTGCCCAAGGTGTCACCAGTGGGAAGCAGGGAGGCTGGGAGTCAGGCCCAGAAGAAGGTCTGGGGCTCACCTGCCGCCTGTTCCGGGGCTTGTCGGCTCGGCAGCTCGCACGGCACCCTGGGCGCCAGGTGCTCTCATGAGAAGACATTGTTTCATCACTCCAGCCACTTCAGGGAGTTTTTCCCTTACACAGTGGAAAGGACATAGTTTACCCATATTCCACAAAGGGCTTGACAGAGGGGACACAAGTAGAGGGTTTCTCCTCTGTCCCCCTTCAATACGGCAACTGAAAGTTTTTCTTTTTGTGCTACTTTACAACCCATAACTTTTCATCTGTCTCTTCCCATGTTTCCTTTTCTTGAATTAGGAATTAACTCTGCAGCTTTCCCACCAAGGGCTGCGTGCCAGGCATTCTTCCAGGCTCTGGGTCTTCACTGCAGCCTCCTGACTTCACTTTCTGCTCAATAGCTTGGCTGGAACCAGAGATAGGATTTCCAACCTTTGCAACATCCCAGCCGTGATCAGAACACCCAGGTATCTGAGAAAGAAAATGAAAACTAGTCTTCCCACCACTTCCCACAAAATGCATGGAGGCCTCCACACCTCCCAGCGTGGCTTCGGAGGTTAAGTCAGACGCAGTGAGAAAGCGCTTGGGACATTGCTGCATCCGCGACAGGATTCAAAAATCCTGAAGGGACCACACAGCCCGGGCTCCGAATGCACCCTGCAGACCTGGCCATACCACTCCCTGGCTTGGAGCCCATCCAGGACAGCAGGGTGAGGCCCACTCCAGCCCTGCCAGGCAGGCTTCCTGAGGCCAGCCTCCTCCCTCCTCCAGCCTCACGCCCACCCTCACCCCCACCACCAGGTGCTGGCCCCAGTACCTGCAGACCCTCCCCACCAGACCCCTGCCTGGGGCCGTGCTGAGCCCCTCAGCCACCCTCCTGTAGCTCAGCACATGCCTCTTTGCCCTGAGCCCTCTCTGCCACCATCATTGGCGACTGTCATTGACTTGACCAGGCCTGGTCGCCCTGTGCCGGGACAGGCGTGCCCCTCCCTGTGGGGTCTGCTGATGTCTGTTGGACGTGTGAACATGTGATCTCACTGCACAGAAGCCTCTGGGGATGCCTGAGAATGGAGGGCGACCTGCGCAGGCCCCCCGTATCCTGACTGCACCGGTCCAGCAGGTAGAGGCGTCCAAGGCAGGACGCAGCACCCTGCCCGTGGAACACCCAGCACAGAGCAGGGTGGCCCCAACGGCCTTGTGATGGTTCGGACTAGAGCTGTTCTAGACCCTCCCTGCCTGAGAATCTAGGGTTCCCCCATCACCGCTCTGTACTTCCCACCAGGACACATAGGTTGTCAGCCTGACATGGAGGCTGCAGTGTGGCCCCAACATATGCGGCCCAGTCATAACCTCTGCTGCGCGTGAATGTGATCACATTTGGAAAAGGGGTCTTTGTAGGTGTGATTAGGTCAAGAATCTTAAGGTGAGACCCTGCCAGCTTACCTGGATGGCCCTGGATCCCATGACAAGTGTCTTCATAGGAAAAGAAGCAATGGGGAGCCCCCGAGGGGGGCCGTGTGAGGTCACAGGCAGGCCACAGTGAGGTGTCAGGGGCACTGGAGCAGAACAGGGGCTGGGAGCCTTCCCTAGGGCCTCGGAGGGGGCACAGCCTTGCCAACACATAGATTTTGAACTTTTGGCCCCCAGAACTGTGAGAAAACACGTTTCTGTTGTTTTAAGCCACCCAGTTTGTGGTGATTTGTCACAGCAGCCCCAGGACACTGACACCCAGGCCCTCTGTGGTCTTGCCCGGCTCCGGCCTTCCTCCTCCAGCACAGCTGACATCCCAGATCCCCTGTGTCCATGCGGCGGCTTCCTTTCCACTGCAGGTTTCTGTTCAAATGTCACCCCCCCACGGAGTCCCAGTCCGCTCCCCACCTACGGCGCAGCCCCTCACCCACTCCCCTCATCTGTCCCAGAGCCGGCCCCTTGCACCCACTGGAACTTGACTCCCACCAGGCCGGGCGTCTTAGTCTAGGCTGGTCCCTGTGCTGACGTGTCCCATGCACCCGGAACGAGGTGCACAGCTCATGTTGGTGAGTGATTGGATGAGACGTTCGGGGGCAGAGGGTAGGCTCTCTGGGAGGTGCTAAAAGGGAAGGGCAGCCTAGTGCTGAGGGCTCGCTGTGTGGGCTGGGCTCAGGGTGAGAAGTCCCCTCCTGGTGGGCCCCGAGTTAGCGCCCCCCACCTCCACGGGAGGAGAAGGGATCGGCCCATGTGAGACTCAGACACAGCGTCCTCGGATCCGACGCCCTCAGTGTGCCAAGGAGAGCCTGCCTCTGCTACTAAACACCCCCTTGTTTTTGTGTGGGCTGGTTTCAGATATTAAGTGTAATAGCAGATGGGGAGGCACGTGATATTTTCTCAGTAAATACCGAGCCGGGTCAGGGCCGGCATCCATGCCAGCTGACCTGCAAGTGGAAGGGCCCCAGGGCTCTCCGGCTGCGATCACGTGCTGAGAACGGATGGTGCTCACTGGACGGGGGCCTGGCTCTCCGCGGCTCTGCTCCGTCCCACGAATTCCTGCAGCCGAGGAAGCCAGCTCGGGATTCCCAGCAAGTCGATGTCACCCGCGGGTTGTCCTGCTGCATCGGGGAAGGCATTTTTCTTATCCATGACATTCCCATCTGATGCCGAGAAAGTCCTTTAGAATGGAAGGTGGGGGGACTGAGGGTGAAGCCACACCTCAGGAAGGGAGGGGCTCAGAGTCCCAGACGCAGCGCAGTGCCCAGGTGCCTGGGAGTGACCCCTGCCTGCTGCAGGCCCTCAGCTAAGAGCCAGTGGGGGGACCTTGGCAGCCCCGACATAAAGAGGAGACAGAGGCTTGCAGAGGCCAACTCGCGTTGGTAAGTGGCAAGCCCGAATAGGGCCCCAAGTCCCTTGGTGACCACGGTGGGGCACCCCAGTTATTTCCTGGTGACCCCACTTGTTTTCACCCTCCAGGGTCTTCTGGAGCTCCCTGAAAAGAGGCCTTTGCAAGAACCATGAGCTTGCCAGGGTCAGGGGGTCCTGAGTTCTGGGACAGGCGGAGGTTGTCGCCAGCCCTCGGTGACCGGAACGGTGTGGACGCCCACCTCTTGGTTTAAGCAGGGAATCCTGAGGCCCCCCGGGGTGCTCAGAACCCTCAGCACTGGGAGGTGCACTTCCGGACTTATGACTATAGCTGGGAAGTGGCGAGAAAGTTCGCCCATTTGAAACGATGCCCTGTATTTCTTCGCTGAGATGGTGACTGTGATCGCTGTCCAGGCATCATGTCTCCACCCAAACCTGGAGGTGTCGCGCCCACGCCAGGCTGCCCCAAGATTGCTTTCTCCCGAGGGCTGTGGCCTCTGCCCCAGAGCTCCCCCTCCCCGACCCGCAGCCCAAGACCCCCCTGCCCTGACGTCACCATCGTATTCTTTGCATTTTCTCACCAGCTGACGCTTCCTTCTGTGGCATCTGAACTGGTAACCTTGTCACACCGGGTCAGCCCCTGGCTGGAGTGCTGAGCCTGACACGCCAGGCCTGCAATCCGCACGCCTGCCTCCTACTCCGCCGACGCAGTGAAGGAACTTGATGCTTCCCTTCTTTTCAACCAGAGACATTTTTATGCTCTGACTCCTAGACCAGCCCACGGCCTCTCCTGCCACACACTCACATGTGCACAAAGTCCAGGAAGGTGTTTTTATGAACCTGCTGACCTGCGTTCTCCTGTTCCAAAGCTGTCCAAGTGGAAATGGCTGGAGCGGCAGCGTTGCTAACAAAAACATGGCTTCTCCCGGCATGGCCCCCATTTGTCTGCTGCCTCCGTAGCCCAGCTGTTGACACCTCCTCCAGGAGGCCTTCCAGGGTTCACCGGGGGCAGCCACCTTCCTCGGCTTCCATGTTCGCAGTGCAGAGGGCCCAGCTCTGACCCCAGCCTGTCAGGTGTGTTCACCTCCATACATACTGAATTTAATCCCTTATGTTGAAGAGGCTAGAATAGAACCGTCCAGTTGGCAGGGGAAACTATTTGAGAATGGCTGAGGACACCTATATGCCTCTTTCCTCCTGGGTTGAAAGTTGTAGAGTCGAGTCATCACATGGACCTCGATACCAAATGCACACAAACAGTGCTGAGCAGAAGGGCTCATTGGATGTAGTGGAGAGGGCTGGCACCCTGGCAGCCTAAAACCCTGCTCCTCCTGGTCAAGTGGCCATGGGCACTGGGCAAAGGGCATAATCCCCTCGAAACTCCAGCTGTCTCATCGTCCAGTGGGGAAAGTTAGGCAGCCTTGGAGACTTGTAAGGCTTAGTGATGTAGACAAAGTCATGACTTAGGGGCAAGCACTCCCTGAGGACATTCTCACCCTCTGCCGGTTCCGCAAAGTCTCAGTCTCCATATCTATGAAAAGGGGATGCTCGTCCCCATCTTACATCATCAGCAGCGTGGGTGTGCGAACCAAACAGGACACTGCGTGGGAAAATGCTTTGCAAATGGGGGCGTCGGCGCAAATATGAGCCATTGTGCTTCCCAGGTCTTATCTGCAGATCTTAAAGAAAAGAAGCGTGTGTTTTGAAGGCCTAACTGTCTTTCCCTCTATCTGCCTGCACACTCAGGGATACGACCGTCAGCCCCTCCAACTTTAAACGACAGCCCCACTTCCTTGTCCAGAGTGGGTGCTGAGGGCCGTCGATGGCCCGCAGCCGTGGGAGCCGCGTCCTGAGCCTCCACAGGACTGGGGCCTTTGTCTCACCAAAGTCTGGCACTCAGTCCTGAGCCACCATCCGTGCTGCCCCTGAAGCATGGCCATTTGACCCCCAGTTCCTTCCCAAAATACAGCGGATAGCTCCTGGGATGGGAATGCAGGGGCACCACATGGAAATTTATGCGACAAGGCCTTCCAGGGAAGCGTCAGACTCATGATGGGTTTGTTCAAAAGTGAAGTCGACGGGCTGGGGCCTCACCGGCCACCCCTGCTGACCCGGCTCTGAGAGGGGAAGATGGGGTTGTACCCACAGGCTATGGCAGGGGCCCCCCACCCAGGGCTCACACCCCAGAACAGCGGTGGGGGCTTCGGCAGGTGTCTGGCCCCCTGGGGGTCCTGGGGGCTGCTTCCCTGTTCCTCCCTGTGGTCCTGCTCCCCAGACATTTCCTTAAAAAGCAAGGTCTCCTGGGTTGTGTCCTGTGCCCCCGGCCCCTCACCTAGACCTGGGGGCGGCCTGAGAACGACGGGGGACGTGCTTTCTTACCAGTCTGTCAAGGACCCCACGGAAGTGCCACAGCTCCGGAAGCTGGCTTCCACCTGGGTGCAGATCTCTGGTGATTCACTTCGTGGCAGTGAAGCTGACTCTGGGGGGGCTGCGGCAGGATTAACGGCATGAGCCACTCACAGCGTGGGGGGGAAGGAAAGGGTCCCGCAGGGGTTGTTCAAGCGGCACGTGGCATGGGACTCAGGCATGGGGCCGAGGCTGCAGGGGGCCCTCCCCTCCTGCCTTTCCTTCGGGGGCGTCCAGGCTGCTCTTTGCCTCTGTGTGAGGAGGGCACGGCTCATGGCTTTCCTCTCCGGGTCCTCGTGCTGCCCCCAAACCCTCCAGGGGGCACCAGCTCCTTGGCACCCAGTCATGCTGGCACCCAGAAGTAATCAGATGCACAGTGAGGGGTCTGCGGATGTCACCAGGAAGGGGTCAGCTTGAGGGATGTGGCTACAAGAAGGGGCCCCGTCTGCAGGCAGAGGAAGGACCCCACGGGGAGCGACACCTGGGACAGTGGCTGGCTGGTTGCCTTTGTGGTGGAGCTGCCCTGGGATGGGCCCCCTGTGGGAGCTCCCAGGAGTTATGCTCCTGGCCTGGAGTCCCAGGCCAGGCCAGAGGGCCTGAAGGCCAAGGGCTTCATGTCGGTACCTGGTGAGGGGCAGCAAGAACAAAGAGAAGCTGAAGGTCAATGTGAAAGTGAGAGCAGACGCATCTGACTCCTGCCCTGTCTGCATGTGACCCAGAGGAGAATCCGCACCGTGCAGCGGGTCATCCAGCTGGGGCTGAGCCCCCGCGTGTGGCCTGTCACCAGGGGAGAGACAGGTTGGCCCTGTGGACGGGCCATGTCCCGGCCCCTCCTGTCTGTGGCAGGTGGCCCTGTGTCCTGGAGGAGGCGCTCCAGCAGTCCCAGCCCCCTCAGGGGCCCCTAGACGTGGCCCAGGCTCATCTGCTGCCTCTTCTCCTGTACCTGCACGTGGACGGGTCTGGCTCGCTGTCCCTGTCTCCTCCCCTGAGGTGGGGACAGCAGCAGCTTCATCGTAAGATGATGGTAGAAGCCTCAGGAAAGGGTGCCTAGCACACCACAAACATGGACCAGATGCACCACCCTTGTTACCACTAACACCGTCGCGCCGCAGTCCCCATCGCCCTGTGCCTCGATCGGTCTGCACCCCTGCTGACCTCCACCTGCACGCTCGATGGCTCCAGCTGCAGTTGTCCCGGCGGACCCAGAATGCTGGGGTGGACCCGTATCTCTCCCCACAGACCTTATCTGCGTGAGCGCTGGGGAGGCGCAGGGGTGGGCGGGGAGGGCGGACAGAACCCTCAGGACGTTTGAGAGGGCACAGCACAGGCAGCCAGGGATTGGCGCACACGCAGAGTCCTGCCCAGCGGGGCTGGGGCCATGGGTGGACCACAGCCTTGTGGGTCTGATGTGGGGAGTGGCCCGTGAGGTTGAGATGCCCAGAAAGGGGCTGGCAGAAGGCGGGTGCTGACCCCCAGGGCGCCAGGCTGTGCTTTCGAGGCCCTGCAGCTTAGGGCTCAGCAGGCTGAGGTCCCAGTGGGTTCCTGCTCTGAGGGCACCATGCCTGGAGGGCGTCTAGGTCCCTGGAATCCCTGATCCCACTTCCCCACTAAGCGGCTCCTAGCCACCCTTCAATGCTGGGCACAGCTGCCCTCGCCCCTGGGAGCAGGCTCCGCCCTTGCCTCCGTCCATATGCCTGTTGTAGAGCATTGGTTGTGACCCCCTTCCTCCTCCCTGTGGGTCACCTGCCCCGAGGAGGCCCGAGGCAGAGGAGTGGCTGAGCCCGGGCCTCCCAGGCCTCCGCCAGCTGGTCGCTGGTCAGGGCCGTGTTGGATGCTCCCGTGCCACCTGGTGGCGGCCATCTGCAACTGCAGCAGGCCCTGAGCTCTGCCCAAGGGGCTGACCCTGTGCCTCCCCGGGCTGACCCAGGGGGCTCTCTGCTCACCCCAGCCTGAGAAGCTTTATTGGTCTCCTAGCTGCCAACAGAGGCTGTGTTGCTCTTCTGTGGCTCCCAGGCCAGGCATGGTGCCCAAAGCCCCTGGACTCGGCTCCATGCCCAGAGGCCATAAGCTTTGTGTGAGGCAGTTAGCTGCCTCCTGGTGTCCAGTGACCCCTGTGTCCCTGACCCCAGAGTCCAGGGGAGGAGATGCAAACCCCAGGCTGAAGCTGAGAGGCTCGTGCACCCCATCAGGGAGGAGGGCAAGAGGTCGGGGTCGGGGAGACGGTGGTCGCCCAGCAATAATCTCCCTGGGGACCATGTAACCCTGGGGACCATGCAAGGCTGAGGTCCCTGACCAGGAGGCCCTCCACCCAGACCAGTCTGGGAAACTGTCCCAGATTCCTGCCGCATCCCTGGGCCCCGGCGTGCACACACGTGCTGCAGAAACCCGAGGAGACTGAAGAGGGGCCATGCTAGGCCCCAGCCCAAGCACAGGGGTGCGGGGGAGGTCGCTGGGCCTTCGCAGAGAAGGTAAGGTGAGGGTGCCCCGGAGCTCGTGCGGCTCCCCACAGTGACTGGGGGCAGGGGCCTGTGTGCAGGGACATCTCCGCAGGGGTGGCCCTGCGCGTGGACCAGGGACTGCCGGACCCTGAAGCTGCCCAGGAGCACCTCCCCCAGAGCACCTCCCCCAGAGGCCCTCCATGAGGCCGGCCTGCCTGCCCCCTTGGGAGTGTGGCCCTCCCTCTGCCTGAGGGGCCGGGTTGAGGGGTACAGCCAAGGGTACATTTCTGGGCACAGGAACCACACCCCATGGCACCCCCAGCTCTGTGCAGAAGTAGGGCCTCTGCTGACCTAGGACTTCGCCTCCTCCCCAACAGCACCTTGGCCACGTGGCAGGTTCCCACTATTTGAGCCCTGGAAAGAAGGGAGTAAGGCCTTGATTCCCTCCCTTCCAGATGTCCACAGCCCACTCGGACCCAGCAGCCTTTACATTCCTCAGATCAATGTTTTTCCTCTTTAATTTAAAAGAGAGAGAGAGAGACTTTAAGCTGGTACATCAGGCGCACCTTGCCTTGGCAGATGTACGGACACCTACATTAACACCTTGCCTTGTATGTATGAGCATAAACCGTGTTAGCACATAAAGGCTCTGACAAGTCCTGCAGTGAATATAGCTTAGGGTTGAACCCAGTATTTTGCCAGCCTATGTGATCACGGAACCATTTCTACGTAACAGCATCCAACTGCACTAGAGAGTCATGGAACTGGGGGCACCGGCTCCTCCAGGATTTGTCCAGCTCTGCCTGGGAGTTGGCTGACCGATCAGTAAACGTTCTGTG